TACATACATACATACATACATACATACATACATACATACATACATACATACATACATACATACATACATACATACATACATACAGACAGACAGACAGACAGACAGACAGACAGAAAAACAGACAGACAGACAGACAGACGGACGGACGGATGGACGGATGGATGGAAGGACGGATGGATGGATGGATGGACGGATGGACAGACAGATTGAAGGATGGACGGACGGATGAACGCACGAATTGGCGGATGGCCATCCCAACTAGTGTGGACGCCGCCTACGTTGGCATCAGGCATACGCTAGAATTACCGCACATAACTCCCACCATCACGTATACTCATTCGATTCCGAAATTAAACCCGAATGTCATTGCAGATCTGGCAAAGCAGGAAAACAGCAAACATAAACCATTCAAAAAGCGTATGGTGGCGGCTGCATCTATGAACGCCATCTAGATAAGAGGATGAGAAAAACGCCTCTATTTAAAACGATAATGCCAAATAGCCCTTATCCCTACCACGCGGGTCAACATTCTTAGTATGGAACGGCAGTTCGCTGTTCCTATAATACGGAACTAATATGCAGGATCGCCTCCCATCCTATTTGAGCTTCTTGCGTTACCGGTGAGACGTATCCTCAACGTTTAAGTAACTAACGCGTACGCCCTGGAAGCCTCGTACTATATCTTCTCATCAAACTATCGTTTTAAATGTGAAGCATTTCTTAGCGAACTTCAGCGACTTTGGATCTATCTATCTATCTATCTATCTATCTATCTATCTATCTATTCTATCTATCTATCTATCTATCTATCTATCTATCTATCTATCTATCTATCTATATAGCCGCATACGACTTTTAGCTCTACTGGATATCTGGTAATTATTATCGATACCAAACTTGGTATGGCATAACATGGGTGTATGACGAGCATATTTGTCTTATCATAACATGAAAATCACGACATCTATGCCATGAATGACATGATTTACATTTCATGGTCTCGCTACTCTTGTGGTGGTCTCGTTGATAGGACATGTTGCAAAACTGGTATGGTATGACATCATTGCATGATAAACGCAAGCGACAGACCCTAACATGAAAATCATTACATGCGTGTCATGTAACAATATCACGACATGTCATACTCATGATGCGCTCGGGGCTGTTTCGCTAGCGTCACACATACCAAATTTGGTGTTACGGTACGTGAATGCATGACGAAGGTACGTGACTGGTGCAAACATGGTAATTATGAGATGTGTATCATGTAACAACATCACTACATGGCACGCTAATGATCCGCTGGCGGCAGTTTCGCTAGTTTCACTCATACTAAATTTGGTAATACGGGATGTGAATGAATGACGAAGGTATGATACCGGGGCAAACAAAAAAATATGAGATGCGCGTCATGTAACAACATGACTGTATGCTATGCTCATGATGTGTTCGCGGCTGTTTCGCTAGCTTCACATGTACCAAGCTCCGTATTACGTGACGCGAACGGACGGCACAGGTAAATGACACATACAAACATGATGATCACGACATGCGTGTCATGTAACAACATGACTACATGCCAAACTCATCATGCGCTCGGGGCTGTTTCGCTAGCGTCCCACAAATCAAATTTGGTGTTATGTTACTTCATTGGATGACCAAGGTATTTGACTGGGGCAAACATGATAATCATGAGATGTGTGTCATGTGAGAACGTGACTACATGCCACGGTGAAGGCGCTGATACATTTCGACGTGACGTGGTGCGCGTGCTCGCCGCCGTTCATTTCGTCGCGTCACGCCGGCGTTGCGACGCCAGGCGGTGGTGCTGTCATGTACTCGCAGGCGCGTGCCACGCTGCGTTGCTTTGACGCATGCGCGCATAGCGCGTCCGGCTTCCCTCCATAACAGAAAGAGGGAGATGCTGTGATGTCTGGGTAACGAATCGGTGTGAAATGCACTTCGTCGCATTTTGCACTGGTGGCCGTCGGGCCATGCTGACGGACGCTGGTCGCACCGGTCGCGCCTGAGTCATACTGTGGAGGGCTCACGTTTTCTAACGTAGCGTCGCTGTGCCCAGCGTACATTGAAGCTATGTAAGTAAAGAAGGAATGATGTAAAGGTGAAACATTTCATACCAAACTTCAGCGACTTCGACCGTATCTATCTATCTATCTATCTATCTATCTATCTATCTATCTATCTATCTATCTATCTATCTATCTATCTATATCTATCTATCTATCTATCTATCTATCTATCTATCTATATATCTATCTATCTAACTATCTATCTATCTGTCTGTCTGTCTGTCTGTCTGTCTGTCTGTCTGTCTGTCTGTCTGTCTGTCTGTCTGTCTGTCTGTCTGTCTGTGTTTCTGTCTAACCGCTTATGGCTTTTGGCCCTCCTGACCATTTCGATAATGAGGTATTAAAATTAGTATGACATAACATGACTGTATGAAGAGCATAAGTCACTAGTCATAACATAAAACAATATGAGATAATTCTTATGAATAACATAAATGCATGTTATTCAGGTCATTACTACATGCCACGATGATGGTGCGCTCGCGGTCGTTTTGCTAACGTCACATATACCACATTCGGTATTACTTGACGTGTATACAGGACGAAGGTTGGTGCAAACATGATAATCATGACATCTATGTCATACCACAACATGAATAAATGCCACGTTCATGGTGCGCTCGCGGCTTTTTTACTAGATTCACATATGCCAAATTCAGTATAACGAGACGGGAACAGACGACGATTGTAAATGACACAATTAAACATGATGATCATGACATGCGCGTAATTCAAAACATGACCTCATGCTACGCTCATAGTGCGTTCGCGGCCGTCTCGGTAGCTTCCCATATGCAAAACTTGGTATGACATAACATGACTGTGTGTATGTGACGCGAACGAACGCCAAAGGTAAACGACATTTTCAAACTTGGCTATCTTGATATGTGTGTTATGTAAGAACAAGACGGCATACCACGCTCATGATGCGCTCACCGCCGTTTCACTAGCTTCGCATGTGCCAAATTTGGTATTACGCGACGTGAATAGACGACGAAGGTAAATGACACATAAAAACATAATATTCATGACATGCGTGTAATATAAAACATGACTTCATGCTACGCTCACAGCGCGCGTAAGGCGGTTTCGCAAGCTCAACATATACCAAGTTTGGTATTACGTGATGTGAGTGAACAACGAGCCCATATGCTGGGTGAAAACATGACACTCATAACATGGAATTCGTGTACTGCATAATTTACATTTCACGCTCATGGGCCACTTGCAGCTGGTTCGCTAGCTTGGTATATGCCTTAGTAAGCATGGAGTGGCATCCTGTTTCACGAACATGAATTACAGGTTGTAACATGCGAATCACGACCTCCAACGTTAGTGGTGCCATCGTTACGTGACTGTAAACGACACACTTGCATGTTATCTAGTTACGTCCATGGGCATAACTTTTCTACTTGTGCTTACTGTGTACTACGTCCGTTCGCCTGGTCACGTCGTGCAGATTTTAAAGCGGCATATCAAACTTCCTTATTCATGCTTCATATATCATCGATTCCCACCTTACGTGAGATCTTCCACATTTGTTTTTTGTTATTAAGAGTAGTCAGTATCAAACTAATGTAAACATGTGTTCTGAGTGTATAAACTAACTAGCCACCATAGTTCCCCGCTTTGTCTAGACGCGTCTTTCTATGTTCCTAACTGTTGCCTTTTTCGCGCAGTTTAATTTCCTGCGATGCACAATATTTCAGCCATTTGATGTTATCGTTAATTCCTCGTAAAACCTTAATGCTATTCAACGTGGTCACTCCACAGACAAAAGCGCTTTTTGTGCAGCTCAACCTTAAGCGGGGAGAGCAGAGTTTGTGATCCGATTTGAAGTGTGAACCTCCCGACCCGATTTGAATTGTTGAGCCTGAAATGTAATGGTGGGAAACTGCTAAACTTTCGCTCAACTTTGAGTTGCACCAAAATGGACTCAGGTCACGCGAAGCCTAACGGAGCCGAAAGAACGAAAATTAGACAAATATGAGTACTACCCATCATTCTCTTGCTGGCTGAAGCGCCATGTGTTACAGCTCCCATAGACACTAGCGCCAGAGCTTTCTCGAGTGTACTCACAGAAAACTCTTTGCGACAGCTGGCTCGCATGCAGGATGATGTTATTGCAATACCTCCTCGTTTGGCGGTAGTGACCGGCTTGTGTCATCACTTCTTCGGCCATTTTCTTTGTCCCCGCTGACATGTGTACACACCTTTTCACTCATGGCTCCTTGGGCATTAGCACATAGTCTTTTCTGGGCGGTTGTTAGTGCGCATGACACCCCTCCCCCCCCCCCCCCCCAAAAAAAATATGAACTGTGGAGGCTGTGACGTCGGCTTTTGTACTCTCGTGCATCAACCAAGAAAGGGTGAAATATTGCTTTCCGTAAGAAAAGGTTGATAACCACAATAAAATCTTGCGACATTGACGTCTATGGCATAAACATATCGAGAGAGTTATTAAAATTGACATTAAAGTAAAATGAATTTCTCCTGAAAGTCCACCTATGACGAACTTTATAGCAGTAATGCTTCTCACAAACTTGACCCAAGTTTACAAAACGTGTGTCAGCAAAGAAAGTTCATACATACCCGAAGCTAAAAATAACATTAATTTGCAATGAACAGCATGAGGCCAACCCCACACAATTAATCATTAAGCAAATATGGGTGAATTCTACGAGTATCTTTACCACAAATGCAATGAGGATTCACTGTTTGTGCTTGAGTCGGAAAACACGCTTTACGAAGAAAATATTTCCAAATTACGTATTCTTGATGAAATACTTTTCATTTCAATGAAAATTGTGTATTGCAACCTGTTCTTACGCACTTCTGCTGTCAAGTCAGGCGTCGTATACAAAATCATTGCATTAATTTTTTTATGTTTCTTTTTATTTCATTTTTCAGTGTCACCGAAATTTGTCAGATTGCCCAGACGGGTGCGCCTGCTTTCTGCGAAACCACAATGAAACAGGTACCTGCGTCGAAACGAATGTCCCAGACTTAGATGAAGGCAACTTGCCACCGCCACCATTTTAATACACTTACCAGAGTTGTGGCAAACAAACACAATAAAGTTTTTTTTCCTCAAGTGCTCCGTAATTTTACCCATGCGGATATGTTCCTATTACCTCCATCACGTACAATGTGTGGTGGCTTGTTTTGGAATCATTCAGACATGGCACAGTAAACAAAAAATGGGGAGGTCCTCTTTCGCACTGATATACTTCATTTTTACGTCATTCTTGAAAACGCTCTCGCATTACTTGGAGCCACGTTGGTACTACCCCAACTGTAGTCAGATTAAAAGACAATTACTCCACACTATCTCACTTTTAAACATAATCTCCATAGAAATGTAGGCGATCGATGTCAATCTCGTTGTATAATCCCGTGCCTAACCAGGTTTCAGCAGAAAGTTTCTTTATAACAGGTTCGTTATCAAGTCTCAAGAGTCATGGCGACGATATTTAGAAGTCTGCTAAGACAATTGCATTTTTGTTTTTTTTCTACTTTTATATGTCGTTAATGACCCATCCATGCCAGCTGTAAATCTCGCTTGCGGGAGTGCGTCACGGATAGTTGTATGGAGGCGTCTTTCACGTACGGCTGTTGAAATAACAGCTTAGACAGGTGAAATAGGAGGGTTTTAAAACGAAGATGTTAAGCGATTGGCCGAAGGAGTACATTTTGAGAAGGCTTATGTTCGCAACAACTCTCACAGAATCACTGTGCGTTTTCGGAGTGCGCTGATGCGTGCTTTGGCTGACATCCTGATTATACGCATTTTTGTTCTTTTTTTGCAGCGAGAGTTAATATGAGAACCAAACACGGGTGTCGTGCGGTGCCACACTCGTCCGCCACCACCGCCGCCGGTGTCTGTAACCAGTTTCGCAAGAAAGAACAAAAAAAGAACGCCAGGCCTGCGCGCAAGGCGCAGCACAGTCACAGCGAAAGCTAGAAGAGTGGCCTTTCAGAACCTTTTCTAAACACTCGTTGATTGACTGCGGCAAGGACACTCTATTGATGTCCACTAAATAAAAATGTTAGAGTAGCAGGCCGGCATTCGCTATGCTATTTTTCGTCAATCTTCTGAGAAGTGTGGTATTCGCTAATTTATTGCGAAAAATTTTGTGCTAATTGTTAATGCACTGGCTGTCTACGATGAGGAATTGCGCCTGAAGTTGGTATGTGCCATGGTGAATAGCTGAGCAAAAACGAGCTTTTGTAATAGGTTTGAGCATTGGACGACCTACTCGTTATGCTATTCACATTCTACGATGACTGCATGTTCTTTTGCTGTTTTAAAACGCTTTATAAGTCGTATCAACGTGATTGCTTTCCGAACATCAAGCCTGACTAAGATAAGTTTGCCAACAAGTCTCAAGCACTGGCGTAGCTCAAAGAGTCTGACTGATAGTACTCCTTATGACCTGTTTATGTTGTTGAGACTTTATTCACTATGGAAAAGTCGCATGATTGATAGACACGCCGAGCCACCACGGTTGACAAGATTTGGCTTCGAAATGCAGCTTCTCAAGTGCGCAGTGTTGTTGAGATTTTTGACCCCATTCCAGAGTGGCTTCCCGTTCTTGACGCTTGTGTGTGTTTGCCTGACTGCTGATGAAGTATGTTGTGGGTAATTCACTGGTGATGATTTCATGCACTGAAGAAAAAAAAAGCACCGGCGTAGCTCAGTGGTAGAATGCTAGCCTAGCGCCCAGCGGACCCGGGATCAAGCCCCCCTGCGTCATTGGTACTAGGTTTTTTTTATCTATTTTGTGTGATGTGGTTACGGACACCAATATAAGGACTGCGCGAGACCCGAGTTGTGATCTCATAACATCTTCCGCTGTAAAAATGTTTATAGAAGACTAAGCACACAATAGGATTTCAACCTGGGTCTGCTGCGTTGTAGCATTGTATTCTACTACTCACCTACGCCGGTGCTTACAGCTTGTTTCTAAATGAGCCTTATGCACACTTGATGTCGGGGGAAAAAATTGCCCGCAGCTTCCTTCGGGGGAACACTGAGGAGGATGCGGACCATATAATTGGTTAACGGGGTGTTAAAGTGCGACTTACTTGGGTCGATGGCTAAATTGGTTAACGTGGTTGTGAAATGGGGTGTTAAATTGCGACTTACTTGGGTCGATGGCTAAATTGGTTAACGTGGTTGTAGGAGGGGGTGTTAAATGAGTGAACACGTACACACGTATGCGAAAGGGCGGCGCTGGTCGAAGGGACGTCGATCATTGTGTTTGTGGGTTCGTTGGAATTCATTTCACCGCGACCTTGGACGTCGACGCGCCGTACAAACCAACCGACGAACGGCAACTGAGCGAGCGAGCGCCGACCTTGAGTATATATACAGCACGACGGCGCATGCACTGTCAGCTGTTGAATGTTCTCGAAGCGCGACGCCACATGCGCGTCCACTGGAGAATCAGGAGAATTGTAGATGTCGAACGCGGTGTGTAGAGGAGGAAGGGTGCACAGATGGTGGAGGAGTGAAGCGCGCGCGGTGTGTAGAGGAGGAAGGGATGCACAGATGGTGGAAGAGTGGGCGACGGCGCGACGGCGCATGCGCGCGCGTCAGCTGTCGAATGTTCGAGAAGCGGTGCGGACGGCGCGGACGGCGCACTACAAGGCGCGAGTATAAGATGCTCCGCATCTAAAACGCAATAATATTGGAAATAAGGCGTTTTAGAACAACAAATGAACAACCAGGCGTCGCGCAATGCGAATTGAGCAACGATTGAGTCGTCCAATACTCAAACTCATCTGAAAGCTCGTTCTTGATCTCCTATTACCGGGGCGCATACCCACTTCAGGTATAGTTCCTCGTCATCGTCAGCCGCAAGGAACTGCATGAAATTCCTACCAAATGTGTAGCGAATACCACACTTTTTCGAAGCATATGATGAAGGATAACAGATAGTAAATGCTGGTATGTTACAAAAATGTTATGATTGTTTATGGCTTAGTGGGAACCCAGCAAGTGTGCTCGTAGTAGTTACTCAAAGTGTGTTTAGAAACAGCTCTGGAAGTCCGCTCTTCCAGCTTTTGCTGTGACCGTGCAGCGCGTTCCACGCAGACGTGGCGTTTTTTTATTTCTGATATTTCAAGCACGTATTTATTTATTTATTTAACTATTCATTTATTTGTTTATCTATTTATTTATTTATTTATTCATTTATTTATTTTGGTAGTACGCGTTGAGCGTTCAGTGCATGACGCGTTTATTAAAAAAGGAACACAGGTCAAGCGCTCAGCGATCCGAATCAGAGCTATCATGAGCACGAACGGTCCTCTTCCTCATCTTTTGCAGGCACTGCTAATCGCATCCTATCCATTCTACAAATCACACCCCACGGAAAGGGAGCCATCCTGGTGACCTAAGGCACAGGTACGACTGGTGGGTCATAGTGCGTCTTCAGTCGGTCGACGTGAACAATCTCACGGTCATGACGGCGGTGGTATGTGGATGACGGTACGGGCTCGACAATATAGTTTACCGGGGATGCTTGACGCAGGATGCTGTAGGGGCCTTCCTACTTAGGCAGCAGCTTTGAAGAAAGGCCTGGAGCTGAGGAGGCAACGCGAAGCCACACCAATGTTCCAGGCTAATATGACAGGGGATGAAGGTTGGCGTCATGGCGGTCCTTTTGGTGTGCTTGGTCTTGTGTAGTTAACTAACGTGCTAGCTGCCTGCATTCTTCCGCATAGGTGGCAAATTCTGAAAGAGTTGCAGACTCTGAAGTATCCGGGCGATACAACAGAATAGTATCCATAAATTAGGAGGGTTCACGGCCTTATAGAAGAAAGAAGGGACAAAATTCAGTCGTGTACTGAGTGGCGCTGTTGTACGCATAGGTAACAATTGGTAGTATGCGGTCCCAGTAGGTGTGGTCAGCAGATACATACATGTACAGCATGTCGCCTAATGTGCGATTGAAGCGTTCAGTCATGTCATTGGTTTGGGGATGGTACGCACTGGTCGTTAGATGAACAACATTGCATTCACGCAGGAGGTCTTGTACGGCTTCTGAGAGGAACGTGCGTCCGCGGTCACTGAGTAACTCGCGAGGAGCGCCGTGGCAAAGAACAAGTTTGTGAAGAATAAGTAAGCCAATTTCACGAGATGTAGCCTCTGGCAGCACGACAGTCTCAGCATACCATGTCAACTGATCAATAGCGACAACCGCCCAGCGATTCCCGTCAGGTGGGTATGGAAGTGGGCCACATATAAGTAAATTCAGAGGCGATTGAAAGGTCAGGATGGGGAGGGCAACGACTGAAGCGGTCCAGAGACGGCATGCGGTGAACTCTTCCGACGTTGACATTTTGAGCATGAACTCACGGGTTGGTGGACAAATCGGTACATTCCACGCCAGTAGTATCGCAGCCGGAGGCGTGCATACGTCTTTATATCACCAGCGTGGCCGTGTTGGGGGTCCGCATGGAACGAGGCGCAAATATCAGCACGTAGATGGCGAGGAATCACCAAGAACCACTTGCGACCATCACTGAGAAAATTGCGGCGGTAAAGTAGCCCATCACGCATGGTGAAATGGCGAGCTGTGCGCCGCAGCGAGCGACTGGTGGTACTAGGTGATGGCTTCGATAGGAACTCCATTAAAGACACTATCAAAGGGTCTTGACACTGTTCGGATGGCATGTCAGCGTGTGTGAGGGAGGCAGAATTGTAGGTAGAAACAGGCGCATTTGCACATTCTTGGGGAAGCGGAGATCGAGAAAGAGCGTCGGTGTCTGAATATCTGCTCCCTGATCTGTAGACGACGCAGATGTCGTAGTCTTGGAGTAGTAATGTCAACGGGCTAGGTGACCAGATGGGTCTTTTAGAGACGACAACCAGCAGAGGGCGTGATGCTCAGTCACCAGATCAAATGTCTGACCATATATTTGAGGTCTAAATTTAGCGATCGCCCAAACGATGGCTAGACATTCTTTCTCCGTAACCGAATAATTTTCTTTTGCTCTAGTCAGAGTGCAACTCGCGTAAGAAACGACGTACTCATCCAAGCCACACTTTCGCTGTGCAAGGATAGCGCCAAGGCCGACTCCACT